CTAGGGCAAGTTTAGGGTTTAGGAGTTTAGGGTTTATAAGTCTTCTTGGGGTTCTTGAAGCAGAGCCGGCTCGTGCAGGCCCTGCGTGGTGGGCATGGCAGCGCATTGCGCTCGCTGGATATTCGCCAGACCGGGGCTTAGGTCTATGAAAGTTACTCAACGATAGCTATGTTCGTAATGATGTGTACACCCTTGTGTCTATTTATGTATATATATATATATACATATATATATATGTGTGTATATATATATATATAGATCGCTGTACATGTTGCCATGGGGTTGCCCGGCGCTCGTCTCCTGTGGCACCGTGCTAAGGAATCGCATTCGTGCAGATGTGGCGGAGAGACTGTCAGATCGCCTACACAGCCTTCGATCAAAGGACGGCTCCTGGGATCCGGCTTCCAAACATCAGCAGAAGCTGTTGGGTTGAAGGACTTCGACCTGCTGTGGGACGGCATGGGCGGCTCCGGCACAGCTCAAGTCGTAGCGGGCAGGAAAAGAGCTCTTCGACCAATCTGACTGGCGGATTCCTTTGCTGGGATGAGCCCTGTTTCCACTAAAAACCCTTCATCGTCATTGAGGAGTTTGTAAAGATGGCAAAGCCGACTTTCCTAAAAGCTGCGAGACGAAGTGCCTGAGCCCTCATCCTCATGTCCGGAGGTGCTCTTCGGCCAAGTGCTGCCTGCTTGGGCTGCCCGCCGCCTTGACCTTAGTGGAGGGGATGTTTAGGGGTTCGGGGAAGAGGGCTCAGGGATTAGACTTCAAGCATGGAGCCCTGAGCCTCAAGGAGGTGGTACCTCGAGCAAAGCAGGAGAATCGTGCTCACAGTTCGAGCTTGCGCTGTTGTTGTCAAAAACAGATTGATTCCAAGGACTCTGTGCTGTATCATTCGCAGGACCTTTAGCTGGACTCCGCCTGGTGGATTTCGGCAGCGGTGACGGACGCCTTGTTGCAGCTGCTGCTAAGCACGGGCTGCCAAGCTGCAAGAAGCTTTCTCTCCAGCTGAACGCATCACAGCTTTAAGCATCTCGTCCCTCGTGCTTCTCCTTGCGCTGACTTGCACGGCCCTCATAATGGAGCCAAGTGGTTCAAAGTCAACATTACTTACTTCAATCTTGAGATGCCTCTTGTACGGTTGCTTCGATGCAAGAGCAAGTATGTTCCCAGGATGCATGCAACCGGCTATGAGCTGAATCCGTGCTCCCCTGCCACGCTGGGAAATCGTGGAGTCCGGGGGAAGATTCAGCAGGAGCTCAAGCATTACAGTCCGTACTGAGCTCAAGGTACCTGGTACTTTGGTCCCGGCTCCGCTGCTTTCGCGCCTTACGCACGGGCCCGGGTTCGGGGCAGCTCCGCTGGGCAAATGTCTGGCCCTGGCCTCAGAAAGTCAGCCGTAGCCCCGGTGTGAAAGCTCTGCTGGGTTTTCGAAGGTGAGAAAGCTTCAAAAGACATTGCCGAAGGACACATTGCTGGTGCTCACTATTCACGTCGTGCATGGTGGTTTGGATTTACATGTGTTTACATGCATTTCACATGTATGTCACTTGCTGTGGCGAACACACGTCTTTTGAATTGTCGTTGCGATCCCTTTGTATTGTGTTTCTGTCTGTCTCTGTCTTTTTCTCTGCGTGTGTCGGTTTTCTAAGCATGTCGGGGACGCCTCGTAGAGTCGCCACGCATGGTTTTTTGCGAGACATGATGGACGCAAGCACGTGCAACAACTGGTAATCCCCATGCTGCGGAAGTTCCTGAAGCGTGACAACTTGCATAGCTTGGCGAGTGTTGCGAAGGTCTGCAGATCTTCGAGACGCTGATGTCGTGACCGCCGCCGCCACAGCATATCCGGTTTCAATTCGTCTGTGAGCGCCGAAGCTCCGTAGTTAGTTAGTTGGAGCAGCCACCTTTGTTGTTTAGTTGTCTGGCTATTAAGTTGCAGTGGTGTGATAGGCGGCGAGAACATGAGGTGTATGGAAGACCTGGCGACTCCTTCATGGAGCATGCAGCCAAGAAGCTAGATGAGGCATGAACATTTAGACCGGAAGACGATGCTGTACAGTGTGTCACATAAAGGTAAGTTGTTTAAGATACAAACATCATCATTTAACCAGGTATACTAGCACATGCCTTGTATGCAATCCGTCAGTCCATCCATCCATCCATGCATCCCTCCGTCCGTGCGTCCATCCATCCATACATGCATGCATGCTTGCGGGCATAAGAACCTACCACAATGCCTTGTATATGTGTGTGTGTATGTATATATACATATATATATATGTATATGCATATCTGTGTATATATATATACATACATACAGATAGAGAGATGAATAGTAGGTAGGTAGGTAGGTAGGTAGATAGATAGAGAGATAGACTGACGCAAGCACTTTTGCATAGTCCACCACGAAAACACGACGATGCCCACAAGGGCATAGACATGTCTTCAGGATAATCTTGAGTGTCACCGCCGTGAGCCAGGAGCTGCCTTCGAATGCAGCTGTGGTGCGCCTTACATGACTGGGTGTCCTGTTGAGCTGGGATTTCTGTCACGATCCAAAGGCTGCTTGCATTCGCCATGTTTCTGCTAGACTTGAGCTACCGTAGGCGTAGACCTGCGAATGCCTTGCTTTTCGATTCAGGTGAGTCACTTCTTTGACGTTCCCGGCTGGGAGCGGCGCCTGGTGCCCGCCGAGAAGCGGCTTTCATGTTATGTGCTGGCTTGCCCTGTGATGTGCTGCAGGTACAAGACGTCGACGGCCTGAAACTTTACGATTTCTCCCTCCGAGGACCGCTTGTGGTAAGGGTCTCCTCTGTGACGAAGGGTTTGTTGTCACTCGGTTCGGCCATAGTCACAGCGCTTCTTGATGTTCTTTGCTAAAGAACAGAGGTGAGCACCCGCGTTCAGAATGTACAGGCTACAGACTGCATAGGTGCATAATGCCACTTGGCGTGTGTATCGCAGCGAATCGCAAGGAATCCTTGGTTGAGTAAGCCGCTGAGATCATCTTCTTTCCATAGAAAATGATGGACGTCCAGGAAACTCATAACCACAGGGAGCGCATCATGTATCTCTCGTGGGACTGATTGTTTCTGGCCGTTGAAGGAGATGACGACCGGTCAGCGAGACCTTCAAGTGAGTAGAGACACCATGCAGAAGTCGCTGGCACCTCAATCTAGTCAGCCAGCAGTGCTAGCAGAGCCGGAAAAGACGCTCGGTGCGACGACATCAGCAGTCTGTCTCGCATAGTTTCCTTTCCGCACTTACACACCACGTGCTGGAACGCGCTTGCGTGGCAGGCCGACGGACCACTTTCGTTTGCATCGCTCATAGACTGGTGTGGTGCCAAGTTCAGGCCAGCCAGAGGCAAGATGTCCTGGTCAGCTGGAGACGCCAAGCACCAGTTGACATGCACTCTTGACGCTCCAAAGTGAGGTGGGACCAAGCACGGACAGTGCCAAACAGCCTAGTTTCCGAGAAGGGCAGCGCGCTGGTGGCCAGTATCAAGGCTTGGGGCTTGTCTCTCTGTCCCTGGGTAAGTTCCCTGTTTCGGGGGGTCCAAAGTTCGCCAGGGTCCTCAGCAAGGCATGTCGCTCTTATCAGAAGGAACCGAATTGCAGTAAAGGGACCCTGATTTAAAGAACTACCCAAGAATATAATATAATATAGTATAATATAATATAATATAATATAATATAATATAACATAATATAATATAATATAATATAGTATATTATAATGCTACCCAGTCGCCTCCTACCCCCGACAGGGGCGCTCCTATGCTGCTACCGTCGCCGGCCTCTTTGGGGATACGGCAGCGGGACTGCTCAGAGGGTGCCACGTCCGTTGCTTGTTGAAGTCAGTGCTATCAGGCAGCAATTTCATAATTTACTACATAGCCCCTTCTGACGTTGACCGGCCACCAGAAAGACTTGCGGAGTGACATGGATCAGCCAAAGGTGCAGAGGCGCTGGGATCAGGCAGATGCTGAAGGAACTCTGCAGGCGCGAGCCGAGTGGCTGCCCAATGCGGGCGATGCATAGGCCCTGGGCACATGTCCCTGCTGAGGCATTGCGGCAGGCTTACTGCCGCACTTGGAGAGAAGCTGTCGACTCAGTCATGGTTTGTGTCGCACAGCTTCACTGAGTGCATCGCCCATCATCATCTCATCATCAGCGTCATCATCGCCATATCTATCTATCAGCTTCGCAAGCTTTTGTAGACTGGAGGTGAGAGAGTACAAGGCCGAGCGTGACCTGAGAAAGGCTGAAACTGAATGCGCTCAGCTTTGATCCCGCAGCGAAGCTGTGGGACTTGAGGTGTCAGCTTCCTTGATTCATTTCTTTTCCCGCCCGTGTTTGCAAAGATCATTCAATTCGGCACATTCAAATACACAACTGCATCCCCGGCAGAAAATTGCAGAGTGTTGTTTGCTACCAGCTTCAGAGCTGCCTGTGGACGGCCAGGCTGCTCACTTAATTGGCTTCTGGTAGCAAGGCGGCAATGCCTTTTCCACCTCGCAACATGATACTGAACTGTGAACTCTGATGGGGTCTGGATTCCCTCAATGCCCAGGCTGGAAAGAAGAGTTTTTCCCGGTTAGTGCGATGAGACTAGGTTGGCAACAGCGGAAGCAATCCAGCATGGTCACAGCATCAGAGTCATCAGAGTAAGATCATTGGAAACACTGGCCAAGTAGTGTACTACCGAACGGGGCAATGTTGGTGCAGTTGGCAATGTTGGTGCAGTTGTTTGATCGACATGAAGCCATGACTAGTCTGTCGTCAGAACTCCGGCTGCGTAGTAGCTGTAGCAAAAGCTAGAGGAACATGCTGGGGTGCTGTGCTATCGGACCCAGTAGCTAGCTAGGGAGACGTCTGCCTGGATGGTTTCTAGAAGCCTCCAGGAGGCTCTGCACAAGTGCGGGATTGCTGTTTAACCCACTCTCGCCTCACATTTGTTTCTTGATGTTTTGCAGTGGATCTTCGAATTGCTGTAAGGTCTGACCCCTTCCATCCGATGGTGCGCATCGCAGTGACAGCAATCGACATGGCTCTGGACTTGCAGCTTTGGCAGCAACAAATGCCTGCTTTGATTCTTTGATAAGGACGCAGCCCACGACACTTCTGCCAGCCAGCAGCCTCAACAGTGCCTCAGAGACTCGGAAGTCAGAGATGGTGTAAGGTTGGCGGCTCGATCACTTTTGGACGCAGCCTGCGGCGACGCAGCCTGGCCTGCCCGTGCGGCTTTTGTTGTTATCCCAGTTTTACGCACACAGAAACTAGGCCAACTCAACAGAACCCAACTTGTTTTGTTGGAAATGCTCTGGTGAGCCTGTTTTGTGGGCAGGATGGTCGCAGCGGTCCTGTCGAGGAGGTCTGCATCTTGGCTGCAGTGAATCGGCTGGGTGGATGCAGAACGCAGAAGTCTGTACATCCTGCCCCTACTTGAGGTCCAGTACACAGGTGTCGACATAGTGCAGCATGTGATTGAGGCCCGTCTTCTGTCAGAGTCTCGAAAGCCAGCGTGCAAATAATACTACTGAGTCCCAGGAGAACCAGCGGAGTTTTCCCTCCCACAGGCCAGAGCTTGGGGTTACTCGGGAGGAGGCGAACAGAGGTGTTTCAGATATTGGGTTACGACACAGTAGCGACTGCCCGACTTCCCGGAAGCTTGAACATGGTACATGCCAGATGTTCGGTTGCGACATGCTGACTTATTCACATTCTGCCGTTTCGGGAGATGTTCAAGTGTATTCGCAACACTCACAACACGTCACGATGTTCTACCAGAGCGCCACCCTGCCGTGCCCTTAGATTCCTGGCGGCGGACTGCAGCTCCAATGCCGAGCTCCCGCAAGCAGACGTGGTCTTCTCCAAGGATCGGATCGCTCAGGGCTCGACTCGCTGATAAAAGGTTCGGTGTCCCAAGTTGGGTAATTCTAACGCTACGCAGCCCGCCTCGGCTCGACAGTGCATTGTGAAATGTGAGGAACATCGTGCTGTCCTCGTGTTTCTGACTCTGCCAGTCTAAAGGTGAATACTTATAACAGATACAGACTTCTCAGGAAGTGTTTACATCGAGTCAACGAAGCGTCAACATCTAGATAAACCACTTGAATCGTTATTCGCTTCGTAGCTAAAACTCAAAAACGTATTGTGGTCGAGTGACAGATTAGCGCGAACAGGGGCTAAAGCTCTTGGCTGCATCAACCTCTCGCCGTCTGTACAACACCTGCAATGTCAGTTCGTGCAACAACGTACTTTTGGACTTTCGAGAATGGAGGCCACAAATACGAGAGATGAACGTCTTTTGTCGACAACCTTGGAGGCCATGAGTCGACTACTGCTGGTCTCCCTTCTTTGACTTTGTCGGATAATCTCCGCTGAATCATTGACCAAACCTTCAACCAAGACGGGGGGGGCGGAGGAGGGGGGGGGGGGTGGGCTGGCGGGCAGACGGGCTGACTGGAATTGGCCAAAATAACGAAGGGAAAGGACAGGTCAAGGACGAAAGTGTGCCTAAAAACGCATGTCGGTGAATTTTTGGGATGCAGGGACGAGGATTATAGGTGGTGGGTACTTAGTTTAACCCTCAAGACGCCGGAGGCCTGTGGCCTCGGCGGATTCAATTCGTTCGGATGCTGCAGTATCTAAAGAATCTAAAGGCACAACCATGGTACACAGGCTGACTGAAGCGGAGGTGCGCCATGTCTCAGCAGACAGGAGACACTGAACCACATGTTCGTGGAGGACGCAGTGCAGGCATTGAAATGCTTCCGAAGATCATCCAGGCACGTCAGAGTCTGATTCAGCCATCTTTGGAAGACTGTTCTGGAATGCCTGCCGGCTTTGCAGGTACCTCGTGACGAACATCCACAGAGGAGCTCCAAACAATCTTGGGGCCTCTAAGGGACATCATGCACATTATGTTCCGTGCCTGGGCAGCAAGTGTTCAAGCAGCTTGCCGCATCAGTCTCTGTGGGAGAATGCTGTAAAGGCCTGATGCACCTTGTGGATTCCTATTCCTGCTTTTACTCCAACCCCTTAGAGCCGGATGAAACGTTCAGTGAGGTACGACTTCTCGCTGCCGCCCTTCAATTTGAGGCCAATGTTGTTTGGCAGTCTTCAGCACTTGGGACGAGTAGCCAATGCTGAATCTGACCAAAGCCAACTGCGCGTCCAGTGTGCGTTTGTTGCAGTCGGCAGTCTTTGGGACGTTTGTTGATGTTCGGCAATCTTGGCTGCGCTGGTCAGAACGTCTACCAGGCTGGTAGACGTTCTGACCAGCGCTGCACCGGTTCTCTGCAGCAGAACAGTCAGGAAGCTCTGTCAGCTTGTCCCTATCAACCACGAGGACTGCCGAGACTAGTTGAGGTGTTCCGCAATGCACTTCTGTGCGAAGGACTGGACGGAGTTTGCCCTATTCGCCTTGTGAGCCATAGGGGATTGATTTAGCAAGAAAGGCCCTGAGGCCTCAGCAGTCGTCAGCGGCAAAAAGAGGCAATGCAACGATTCGTGCTTCAGTGGGCAAGCACTTCCAAACTACGAATCATGTTCGTCTTGGTGTTCACTAGAATGAGCACACAAATAGTAGCGCTAGTGTGACACAGCCACCACACCTTGTTCGTTGCGGAGCAACCACTGCAATGCAAACCGGCGAGAGAGAGACAGAGAGAGAGAGAGAGAGCTAGCCTTGTGTTCAACTGTGTTTTGCTTGCTGCCTTCTGGGAGCAGAGGGGACTAAAGCAAACAACAGGGGAAACTGCCCTGTAGCCTTGAAGCCTCGCCCACTTTCATGAGATGCCAAAAGGGGGGAAGTCTGTTGTGTTATGGTTGAGTGCTGTTTTACTTCTGCGACCTCTGGCATCTCTACAAAGGGGGGACTTTCGTTCCTGTTGAGCCGAGCTCCA